TCGGTGGACCAAAGATGTCAAAATCGTCTTCGTGGCCCCTACGAAGCCTTTGGTGGCCCAGCAAGTCGACGCGTGTTTCAACATTGCTGGAATTGCACGATCCGAAACGACGCTTCTAACAGGTGACACAGCACCGGCCCTTAGGGTTGATGAGTGGCAATCCAAGCGAGTGTTCTTTATGACGCCCCAGACTCTGGCCAACGATTTGTCCCATGGTTATGCAGATCCCAAGTCGATCGTCCTTCTGGTTATCGACGAAGCGCATCGTGCAACGGGCGAGTACGCGTACGTCAAGGTCGTCAAGCTCATGCGTCGCTTCAATCCCTACTTCCGTGTCTTGGCCTTGACAGCCACACCTGGCTCCAAAGTTGAGACCGTGCAAGAGATTATTGACAATCTCGGCATATCTCACATTGAGATTCGGACGGAGGAGTCCATCGATATTCGTCAATACGTACACCAAAGGAATGTTGAGCAGGTTTTGCTTGACCCGTCCGACGAGATGTGCGAGATCAAGGACCTGTTTACTAAAGCCCTGAAACCCCTCATGGACAAGCTCACGCAACAAAACATTTACTACGGACGAGACCCAATGTCCATCACGGCATATGGCTTGATGCAACAACAGAAGGATTGGTTTGCAAATGTCGGGCGACGAGCCAGCCCGGGGCTGCAAGGCATGATGCGGTCTGTCTTCTCCATTCTTCAAAGCCTCGCGCACACGATCAAACTACTGAACTTTCACGGAGTGAGGCCGTTCTACGAGAACCTCAATGAGTTCAGAAGTGAGGTTGAGGAAAAGGGGGCAAAAGGATCAAAATACAAGAAGCAAATTTTGGAAAGCGAGCATTTCCAAGAAATGATGTCGAACATGGAGAAGTGGCTTCGGATTGATGGATTTGCGAGTCATCCGAAGCTAACTGAACTCCAAGACCGAATTCTGAACCACTTCATGGACAATGGTGGGAATTCAGCAACTCGCGTCATCGTATTCAGCGAGTACAGAGACAGCGCCGAGGATATTGTCCAGGTACTGAATCGTCACAAGCCACTCATCAAGGCCACAGTCTTTGTTGGCCAGGCAGATTCCAAAAGGTCAGCAGGTATGAAGCAAGCCGAACAGATTGAGACGATTGAGAAGTTCAAGGACGGCAAGTACAATGTACTAGTGGCAACATCCATTGGTGAGGAAGGTCTAGACATTGGTCAAGTCGACCTGATTGTCTGCTACGATGCATCCTCCTCGCCTATCCGCATGCTGCAACGAATGGGTCGAACCGGACGAAAGCGAGCGGGAAATATCATCCTGCTCCTCATGCGGGGGAAAGAGGAAGAGGCATTTGCCAGATCCAAGGACAACTATGCAGAAATGCAAAAGATTATCAGCGATGGAAGCAAGTTCAATTTCCGTCATGATTTATCAGCCCGGATCGTCCCTCGAGACATTCGTCCAGAAGTTGTCATGCAACACATTGAGATACCCATTGAGAACACCCAGAACCCGGCGCTGCCTGAGCCGAAGAAGCGAAGGCAGCCAGCCAAGAAGAAGCCGCCCAAGAAATTCCATCTTCCGGACGGCGTCGAGCTTGGATTCACAAAAGCATCAGATTTTGGCAAGCCAACCGCAGGGGCTAAAAGGGGTCGTCCACCGAAGCAGCCGGAGCCAAGGGAGGCAGACTTTGTTGAGGACGTACCATCTTTGAACTCTGTCGTTTTGACCGATACTCAACTAGCTGAACTGGATAGGATATACCGTTCTCTGCCAGCAAGCACTACGAAGATCGAAGAGATTGAGATGCCGAACTTGACGTCGTACCCGCTGCTTCAGCGACGACTTCGACCAGTCGAGAGGGTTCAACATGGCGTAAGGACCAAGAAGTTTGTCAAGCTCTGCAAGAAGCTTTCTCAGCAGCAGGATACTGCGAGCCGGTACACGAAACCTTATGGGGAGAAAGATACCAGCCGATACAAAAGCATCCCGGTGCCGCCTTTTGCAAGCGATACGGAGGACGAGGGTCCCCCAGCCACGAGATCCGTGATAGAATTCTCCGACGACGACGATGTAGTCGAGCAGTCCCGCCCCAAGAAACGCGTATCTACCGGTGCAGTGAAACCTAGGTCATTCATGGCCGCCTCTGCCCTCATAGACGATGGCCTCAACGACATGGAGGAGGAAGAATCCCCTCCGCGACGCCGCCCAAAGCCAGCGGCCAAGAAGCGCGGCAAGAAAGCCACCAAGAAAACCCGAGGTGGCATCAACAGCGATGAACTCGGCGATGACTGCTTGCGGGACAGCGACGCGATGGATACGGACGGTTCGGACGATGGAGCTGACTTGGTGGATTTCGTTGTCTCGGACGACCATCCCATGTCCAGTGTGCGACCGACGTCATCCAATCCACCATCGAGCCAAACTGCAACCCCCGATTCTCCAACGCGGACAGAGACATCAAAGCCGTTTTACGTGCCGACTCAATTTCCGCCCACGCAGGAGTCGGTGGACTCGCTGCTGGATGATGACGACGATCTGCTTAGCAGCACGAAGCGGCCGTCGACAAGCAGGGCGCGGCTCGATTCCGAGCCAGATGATATGCCGCAGAGACAGGTGGGAGGCCGGCAGCAGAGAAGGCGCCCGGTATTTGACAGTGATAGTGACGAGTAAGCCCTGGGGGCAGGCATGTATTGTTAAATAGACACGAGTAATATCTGGCAGGTGAAAACATGGCACGATCGTACATAGCATCACCAGAGAACGAATTGCATGACTGAATGAACACATTTCATTGTTCTACCTCCCCGCATCAACCTTCGTCCCCCAACACCAACCTCGAAGCTAGAACGCGCACCTGTAGGTCTAGTCAGCAAAGTTCCAAACCCAGATCAATCTTCAATCTTTCCAAGCGGAAAATAAGACCAATGTCAGAAACCCAATTTAAAAGCACTACATCCCCACCCCACCTCCCCGCGCCCCTACCCCGACGACGTACGAGATGGCACATGACGGTGCAAACTTCCCGCAGCCATGGTGTCCAGACAGATAGGATGTCAACAGGAAAGCGAAGCCGAAGGGAGCAGACCTCCGGAGGGAAAAGAAGAGAGAGAAAAACAGAAGAGAAAAACGCAGAATGTCCCAGAAAGCAAGGAAAAGAAGAAAAAGACAAGCGCCGTCCCCAGCCAACGAACCAAACCACAACATTTCCCCGCCTCGCTCCCGCCGAACACCATCGATGTAAGCGCTGTTAAGCATCTTCCACCATCCAGAGTCCAACCTCCAACGCCAGCCCTTAATGTCTGCATAAAGGTCCACACCCCGCCGCCCATAACGCTTGCACGAACAATCCATGCCAGAAGCAGGAGAGAATGTCAAGCAGGCGTTCGAGGCGCGTTCCCCACAGAGGTAAAGTTGCGCGTCCATCGGTAGACCGTTCGGTGCCGGCACGCAAAGTGCAGGGGCTGGCTGCAGAGATCCGCGACCGGGAAAAACACGACACTCGCCCTCTCCCCCCCTCCCCCGACTTCCCTTTCCTCCCACATCTCGCTCTCCCGCGCTCTCCCCCTCCTCCCCCCGTTCCCGAAGGCCCTTGCAATGCTCCGGGGCGTCTCAGACGGCTCTTCCTATTGAGATACGGGTGATGCGAATTCATCATATGTTGGTCGTTGCGCGTGCGTGAAGCACACACGCGTGATTTTGTGACGTGAGGAAAAATGAGTTGGCTTACCTCTCAGCGACGGATTCAAAAAGAATGAGTTTGAATCCGTGAAGCTTCGATGTGCGACGTTCGTGCTGCGACGCGGCGGCGTTGACGATACGCTTTTGGGGTGGTGGTAGATGGAAGTTGGGAGGAAGGAAAGGCGAAGAGATTTTGCCGACGCGCTTTTTGGAGCTGACGGCACCTTGCGGTGGGTGGGGCATGGAGACCTCAGGAATTAGGCGAAAGGGCGGCGGTCCGGCGACAGCTGGGTGTAGATACCCCACAGGAGCTTCACTGAGTGACACCTCAGAAAGTTAGGTAAGCCGACGGGGGAAGCGGGACAGAACGGTTATCCCCGCCGAACCCGTCTCACATGGACGACGGGAGCATAGGGACTACCTTAGTACAAGACACCAAACGGTCTAACAACGGAATACAGTCACCAAAAACCAGGAAAAGGCCCAAAGAAAGCACGCTTAAGTCTACACTAAGGTATGAAGGGCCTTCATTATTCATCATCATTCCTTAGTGTAATTAAAGGGAAAGAGAAAGGGAAAGGGGAAGGATGTGTTATTTTTTATTTTTTTAAAGAAAAAAAAAAAAAAAAAAGGGGGGGGGGGGGGGGGGGGGGACACATGGGGCAAACAAGAACATGTATGTAGGTGAGGCAAGGTTAAAGTTGCAGCTGTCGCTGTTAATCGTTCATCTCAGACAGAGGGTATCGCCATTTTTAATATCAGACACTGCAACTAAAACCAGTAGGCTTATAGCACTGATAGATAAGACCTTGGCTTCTAGCTCAGAGGACTGGGCACTGGAGGATGGCGCTATTAGCATCTGAAGGAAGGGGTTGGCCTTGTCGATGCGAAGGGCTACGCTGGGTGCTACCCGTACCTCGTCCCTAATGTCGCCCTAGCGACTGGCGGGCGTGAACTTGGAGGCGGCAGAGGAGCTATCTAGGATAAGCTCGCTAGGGATGATGCTTATAATGTCTCCTGCTGTGATGCTAACCTGATTAGGATTGGTGGTGGGTGAAGAGGTGCTTCCTAAAGGCCTTAGTATGGGAACGTTAGGGTGATGGACGGCCTGCAGCTTCGGCATTATTGACGCTGGAGTCTCCGTGTAGGAGATATGGATATAGGGGTGCGGAAGGTCTATGTGCTGTTGGAAGGCATATTTGCGCCACTGCAGCGGGTTAGGGCTGCGGCGGTGGGTGTAGATGGCGCAGCCGCCTACGCGCGGGAGGGAGACGTCTTGCCTGGGGCCGGCAAGCCTGCCGATGGACACCCGAAGCTTGTCTCCCAGTCCCTATGCGTGCGTGGCGATACGCTCAGGGCCAGATATAGGAGGTCTTGGCGGCTGGGGCGCCTCTGCTATTGATGCGAGGTGGGTGATGGACTTGACGTTGAGCCTGAAGAGGGGATCTGCCTGTTCGCCTTGGATGACTCTTGCGAACAACTGGCTGAAGGCGGCCAGCTGCTTGACGGCGCTACTTCTGTCGTCCTCGGCCTCCTCAGATGTGAGGCTGATAAGCTGGCGAGCTAGGTCCTGTGAGTCTGACAAGGTGAGGCCGAGCTTGCTGGGGGGGAGGGCGGGGAGGAAATTAAGACTGTTGCTGGAGACTATGTTTAAGATGCGGCTAGTATAGAGGTAACGGCTGATATCAGCCTTTTGCAGATAATACGCCCTCGGTTTGGTATTAGCGGAAGAGGGGTTGATGCTGAGCACCTTGTAGGTGAGGCTCTGGATGTCGCTGCGGCTTTGGTATATGGCGGCGCTGTTGGGTCCTGGCTTCTTGAAGCGCCTGCTTAGCTGGATGTGGGCGAGCCTTGTCTGGTACCTGGCGAGGGCCTCGTGGTATTTGGCTGCTGGGTGTTGTGGTAGAGAACGATGTGGTTCTTGTATGGCGGGAGGTGGAGCGTTGAGCTTGTTGAGGCGGCCCGCCAGGCTTGTAAGAGGGCCACGCACTGTTTAACGCTGCGGGTGACGAGGGACTTCACAATGGCCTCGACCTTGTCCATGGAAGGGGCTGACCTGGACGTATGCGGCCTGGCCTCGCTGGAGCGGGGTTTCTGATTATTGGCGTCGTCCTGGCTTCCTGAGTAATCTTCTGCGGATATCTCTGCGAGGCTATCTGGGGTGTCGTCGCGGGAGATGTTGCAGTTGAGGTCCTTCACATCCTCATCATCATTTTTATGGTCTGTATTATCTGTGTCGTCTGTCTTGTCGCTACTAGCAACATCCCTAGCGTGGCTCTTGCTATACCTGTTGTGGGGCCTATTTTGTGGTGCGGCTGGCGGGTTCTGTGGGTGTGTGTTTGTCTGCGGTGAGACTAGGATTGGGTTATGTGCTGGGCACGTCTGCTTGCTGGCATGTTGGGCCGCGGTGTGGGCTTGGCTGGTGCTGGCTAGTGTGTTGTTATTGTCTGTAGGATTGGTGGCCTGGGCTTGTTTGCCTGTTGACGTCTTCCCGTTTAGATGTCTTTCATGCCTGAGCGTAGATGCCCTGTTGCTTGTGGATGTACTATGGAGTTGATGTTGGGCGAGGGGCTGCGATGATGATGATGATGATAATGATGATGGTAGGGCTGGTCGCCTGCTGAGTGTGGAGCCTTCTGCGGCGTTGTCACCTGAAGATAGCGGGGAAGGGGGCATGGCTTTCTGGAGGCTGCGCTTTATGAGAGGGATATCTGCCGGCCCCCCCGCGCTTGGTCCCGAGCTACCCATGATGTCCTGGTGGTCTATGGTCCGACTCTTGGGTAGCTTCCTCCGGCTGGGACCTGAGGCTGGGTTGCAGTCTGAGGAGGTAACTTTGTTGCTAACAGTGTTGGCGGCTGAATCGTCAGGCTACGTGCTCCCGGGCGGTTGGAGGGTCTCGCAGGTATTGCTATAGGGATGGAGGTTGCCTGTATATGGGCTGCTTGCGTCTGATGTGGGGGCTGAAGGGATGGTGATAAGCTGGGAGAGGCAGGGTCTGGCGTTGAAAACCTGGAAGTAGGTGCCCGGGGGCATAACGACGGTATCTCCCTCGATGCAGCTGAAAACATAATACGTCACATCCTACTGGTTGAGCATGGCTTTTGTGATGAAGATCTTATTGTGGAGGAAGAACTGCGAGCAAGGTGTGGCGGGGGGGGGGGTTCCACGCGTGGGTTGCTGTTGTTGTTGCTGCTGCTGCTGCTGCTCGCCCTGTCCTTTCCCCCTCCCTGTGACGGCTGGGATAGGATAGCCCTTACGCAGTCCTCAAGCCTTCGGCTGGATGTGCGTTTGACGATAAGCTAGACCTTGGGCCCTCTGCGGAAAATAATATCAAATGTAGCGGAGGATGAGCGCTGCAGGTATATGCTGGGATAACTGAATGGCGCTGGGGAGGTGATGATTGTGGCTACCCCGTCTTTGGAATTGGCGATGAGGGCTGGGTTGGTCAGCTAGCTGTCGCCTGTGACCCCCGCCTGATTGTATATGCTAGCGAAGTAGGATGTGATGGTGTTAGGTAAGGGCTGATGGGAGAAGGAATCAGCCATGTCGGCCTGTATGGACGGCGCCCTTGGTTGGGGTGAGGCGCTGCGACGTGGGCTCGTCTTGATGACGACGGCCTCCTGCGTCTGGGTGTTAGGCTTCGGCATGTTGAGGATGGACATACTGGGGGTTCTTGACGGGTAGAAGGTATACGTCTGGACATGCGCTGGGGGGTTGGCGACGTTGAGTGGCGGCTTGACTAGCCTGCTACCTTCTTCGGTCTGGAGGTGAAGCTTCGCGAAACCTATACTACTTGATATGGGGAGGTGGAGGATTTGATTGTAGGTTTCCGCCTGTATGGACTTGAAGATGCCCTAGGGAAGGTTCATCGTTATATCGCTGGCTGGGATGAAGATGGTTATAGGGGAGGACCTGGTATAGGATGGTGGCGTTTGTGACCTCTCCTGCGCATTTTCCTTGGCTGCTGGTGGGGCTATGTCTGGCGTCCTGGGCTTCGATGTGGCGATGGAATTGGGCAGGGATGAGAGTGTTGAGCTGAAGAGCTGGGCTGGCCGAGGGTCTTGCCTGCTTGGGAGCTTCTGGCTGTTTTCTCCGTCATTTAGGGGGAGTGCGTCACACGCGGCTTGGGCAGTAGCGCGCAGGGCCTGGCTTGGATGGTGTATATTATTGGGGCGTGACTCGGGAGACATGCTTCTTCTGTTGGTCTCACAACAGAGAGGTAGGAGATAGGAGGTAGGAGGTAGGAGGGGGAAGACTGGATAGCGGGCTACGAGTAATGCAGGGACCCCTTTTGTGTGTGTGTGTGTGTGTGTGTGTGTGTGTGTGTGTGTGTCTGTGTGTGTGTGTCTAGGAGATACCTGTAAGGCGAGGTGGACCTAGGTAAGGTATATTGAGTTGGGTGAGGCAAGTATCAAGCTAGATGGCGGACACTTGATGATGATGCTACAGATAGCTAAAGACGGCGTGAGGGCCACGGGATGAAGGGGGCGGAAGTAATTCGATCGGCAAAACACGCGGTTGAGAAGTTAATAACGATAAACGGGTGTTGAGAGAGGGATGTGGCGGGTGAAACAGGCCTTCTTCTATCGCACAAACAATACGATGTGGAAAGTGTACAATACAGTCCCTGAAAGTTTGTATAAGCAAATACCAGCCCGAAAAAGCAAAGCCCCCATGAAATTGAGCCAGGGGGATATGTAGTTTGTTAAAACACCCCAGCATCTCATATGCAATCATGGGGCCTAAGTACCACGCTTACAAACATTCAGGGACTGTATGGAAGGGGTAGGTAGGTAGTTGAGAATAAAGACTCCACTTCTAGAACGAATCAAGACGCGTGAACTCCAGCTGGATATTAGTGATGCCGACGCGCCGAGATTCGCGTTATAGGGTATCTAGGTATCTAGGTATGCATTAGAGTCATACGGCAGTCAACAAGGTGCGCCTCCAGGCGGCAAACTGCGAAGAAGAAAACTCAGAAAGGAAGAAAGATCTAGGTATGCATGTATACGTTTGCACAACCCCATGCCCTTAGATACACAGGGTCAAGCAGAGCGGTGCGGCGATCAGGTGCCAGGGCGAGCTGTGTCGGTAATGCTGCGCTCTGAGAAGGGAGATATAACTACTGGCTCTTTGAGATTCCTAAATCTACCTATCTACCCTTTTCCACCCTAAAGTTACGGTGCAATCTACCTTCCCTTGGCCCCTATTTGCCAACGAAATTGATTACGCGCCGGCTCCCTCGTATCCCAGCCCGCAGATCCCTTCATCGTAGGAAGAGCCGGAACCTGAGACCCAATCCCCCGTCAAGCCCGATCCGTCGCCGTGAGACTCACACTCGCCGCCCCAGACGTCATACGCCTCCACCCTTAATCCCGCGGAGACTTTCGACTCTCTGCCGGAGCCGTGTCCGCTCCATCTGGGCCTCTGGGCCCCCTTTTCTTTCATTCCGTCCGTGATATCCAGAGCAAACAGTCCTTCAGTGGATACTTGGTCAACATTTGACACAGCATCCCACGTCACGGCATTGCTCAACGGACGCCAGATAGACAGAATAGCTTTTTTTTTTTTTGGTTTTCTCAGAACTTGCCATATCAAATTTCAAAGCGATATGTTTAGAGATCTGCTTCCTCACACCCATGGGCTGACTAGCGGAGACCTTTCGTTCTGTTGGCCCCAAGTCACCACATCTCGTGCCATACACATCCTCTATCGTCAATCTCATACCATTAAAAATGAGGAAAGAGATAAATCCTAGAGCAAGCAGGGTTTTTTTGCCAAACCAATTGTACAAAAGCGCGCCAAAGAGGACAAGTCGAACATCCGACATCCTCGAGCCAATACAAATGGCTCAATCCGTATCCAGTCATGAAATCATAAACCTGTCCAACACCAAGAAGTTTTTGTCACACTTGCAGCTCAAAAGAGCTGTCACCGTATTCATCGCACACTCCGCTCAAGACCGTTTACTGGCTCGGGAAGTTTGTGTAGTCGATGTTATTCCAGTCTAGTGACTGGAAGGGGTCTTGGGAATTTTGGGAGTAACCCAGACCGGCGCTCGGTACCTCGCCAAACAGAGGCTCGAAGGCCTTAGTAGCATTGTTGGACGGGAACAACTGAAAGTCGTTGCCGCAGAAGTTGTCACCGGCGTTGCCAAAGTTGTCATCGAAGCTCTCGTCGACCTCAGCCAGCGAGTTAGGTGTGAAGAGCATAGCATTGCCCTGGCCGATGGGGGAGATGTGAGGAGCGGGCTGAGCCGGCATCATCTGCGGCTGGCAGGCGGGTACAGGCTGGTAGATGGGGAAAGCCATGTTCATCTGCTTGTCGGCAAACACGGCGCGGTCAGGAGTGGGAAGCGAAGCATGCGCAGCGTAGATGTCGTCTTCCACAATAAACTCCGGACCGTCTTGGTACGAGTACGGGCCAAGAGAGATGTCGGTGTTGGGAGTATTGTGGTCGGACGGGGACAGGGACATCTCGAGGTCCACTTGGTTGTCGAACGGCTGCTGGACGCCTATGACCTGCTCAAACTCTTCATCGGAAATGTACGAGGGGAATTCCATGCCGTCAATGTGGGAAGCGAAGTCGCCAACGGGACCGATGGGGTGCAGGGGAAGCATGGGGTCGTTGAAGTTGAAGTGCTGGGCCTGGTCCATTGGCGGAGGAGGAGTGGCAGCACTGCTGGTGGAGGGGGTAGGCATGTGGTGAAGCTGGGGAGTGGCGTGGGTTACGCTGCCGGCCTTGCTGTCCTTCTTGCCATTGGTCTTGGTGCGGACGTAGGTCCAGCCATGAGCCTTCTCCATGTGCTGCTTACAGTTGGACTCGCGCTTCGACTTGTAAGGGCAAGGCTTGTACAAGCACTCGTACATGGGAGGAGCCGAAGAGTGCTTGTCGTTGTGGTGGCGGTCCATCTCCTTCTCAGTCGGCCAGCCGTACTCGTGGTACTTGCAGGTGGGAACAGGGCACTTCCAAGGACGCGAGTGAGTCTTCTCGTGCTTGGTCAAGTCGCATGGGCGCTTGAACTCCTTGTTGCAGCCAGGCTCGCGGCACTTCTTGGGGGCGAGCTCCTCGGGGCTGGCGTTCTTCTTGCGGCGGGCCATGGAGCGCATGATCTCCTCCTCGTCCTCCAGCTGCTGGCTCATGGAGCGCTTCATCTTGATGGGTGCGGAGTCGTCCAGGTCGACCTCCAGACCAGTAGCCATGGAGATGGCCTTACCGTCCTTACGAACGCGGACGAGCTCAGCAGGGCGTCCGTTCTCGGTGATGCCACCGTAAAGCTTGATTTCGTCGGTGCTGTCTGTCGCGTTAGCAGGGGCAAATAATCCCGGAGCGGGGTTACCATACGAGATCTCAACGTCTCCCTTTTCCTTGGCGGCAGCGAGTTGGCCTGCGTACTGGTGAAGCTGTTCGACAAGATCGATAAAATACCCGTTAGTGTAAGGTCGGTCGTTGGGTCGAGTCTGTTCTCGGTCGCTGAGGTATTCCACGGTGGCTTGAATGCAGCGGATCGACGTCAGGCAGAAGTCGAGGTACAAGGCGGCAGTCTTGGACCTCCCCTTCATCAACAATCGATAAGTATTTCCCCAAAGACCAGTATCAGTCAGTGCTTGACTTACCGGTGCCATGAAAATCAAAGTCTTTTCGAGATCTCTCAGACAGATGATCTCCTTATCTCTAATGAGTCTAGGAACATCGAGAACAATGGGCTCAAAGTCCTTCAGGGCAGGCTTGGCCCGAAGAGGGCGCAGAATGTGCTCTGTGATGCGGTTGGCAGCCTTTTGGCTGAGGCCGCGAAGGTTCTCCTTGGTGGATGAAGAGGTGGCAGCAGCGGACCTAGTAATGGCAGAGGCCTTCTTTGATGCGGTGGTCGCAGGCTCTGTCTCGGTGGTAGGAGCGACAGAGGTGCCGAGTCCGCTGTCTGATTCATGATGTCTCGAGGAGCGGCGGGTTCTAGGACGCAGAATGCGGCGTTCCGCTTCCTTTGACTTCTCCTTGGCCATGGCGGGGTCGACAACGGGAAGGTTGAGGAAGCCTCTGGGAACGGGAAGGCTGTCGTCACGGAAGGACCTGGCCTTGGGCGAGACGATGGTGATGTTGGAGAGAGAGTTCTCAATGTCGTCGATCATCAACGCGGCGCGACGGCAGTGGGCATCAACGACGTCGTCCAGGTTTGTCTGGGAGCGTCGAAGGCTAGGAGGGGAGGCCAAGGCATCGTCTGTTGAAGAGGTAGGGCTGGTGGGAGAGTGGAAGGTAGCACCCTTGCGAAGGGTCATGTTGGTCTTAAGGCTAAGGCCGGCAGGAGACTCCGGGCGAGTCACCGGAGTCCTTCGTCGAGGGTTGACGGAGACGGACATGGTGACGGTAATGACACGGGTGTCCAGAACTCTGTCAACAAGGAGAGTGTTAGATATCTTATGGGTTCATTCGAGTTGTAGGGCTGAACGGGACACGGGGTGTGAGTCACGACCAGGACAACGCCGGTACGCCAGAGGCAGGATAGTCCTAACTCTTGGAGCCAATCGTCCCCAAGGTTTTAGGATTGGCCAATGTGACAATGTGGCGGCAGATGTTTGAGACGGGGAACGTGTGGACGAAGTAGAAGAAAGGAGAGGTCCTAGTCTTACAATGTGTGATAACAGCTGGTGCGGGAGATGATGGTATGTCGGCGACGGGAAGTCTGAGGATGCAGGAGAGACGATTTAAGTCGAGGCCGAAATCAGTCTGCCTGATTTTGGGGTCCGGTCTGCAGAGTGCTGGATGCGAGACACGGGGTAGGAGCGGTTCGTTCGTCTCTGCGGGACTACGCGTCGGCGAGAGAGACGAGGGAGAAGAGGGCAGATGTGCAGGTTGTTATTGGGAAAGTGTCCGGGAGAAGCGGCGGACGAGTAGAGATGGTGGGGGAAGTGCCAACTGCGGACTGGATGTGGCGGCCTCAGTGGGACAGGTGCGGGCGGATGTCGAGTCCTGAAAGTTGAGGACGGAGGTGTGCGAGACTGAGGGAGGGGGGGGGGGGGAAGAAGAGATGGTTGAGGACGAGGAGAAGGATTCGGTCGAAGAAAGGACGGCGAGGACGAAGACGTGGACGGGGGTGGGATGGAGGCGGGAGAAGCGTGAGATTTGGCGGTTTGGCTCGAAGGTCGTCGAGGAGGTTGATTAGAAAAGCAGAAGCGACGTGAACGACGTGAGCGGACCTAGGAGCGCCCGGGGCGAAGGCTGCTGCCTGGAGCAGCTGGGCCAATCAGACGGCGTCGCGGGCGGTTAGTGGAGGCGGAGTCTGGGCTTTGCGGACTGAGGAGGATCAGACCCCTGTTCGTCCGCAGGGGGGCGTCGAGAGTGATGTATCGCTGGGTTGGTACGCTACTGGATTTACTGGGTTTACTGAGTGCATGGGCTGGAGGGTCGCTGAGGGAAAAGAGCGAGAATGGCGGTTTGGGGAGATACCCAGGACCCTTCTGCCCCAATTCCTCGTCAAGACGCCCGCCGTCGGGTACAAGACGCGACCTGGGACCCAAACAGCTCCAGGGCAGCGAGTGCAGGGCCCGCTGTTAGGGTCACCGTCGCGCTGCAGCCGTCGGACTAAACTGGGCTACAGTGGAGCAGATGAGAAAGAGCGACGTGAGCACAGCCCCGGAATTAAGCATTAGAGTGCTGGATTAGCACCGACGACATTTTGAGAATCGCGCTCAATGTAACGGCGTCACGGCTGAGAGGACAGGGAGGTTTCAATAATAGCTCCATTTCATACCGGTGATGATGATGGTGATGGTATCCGCAGCCCACACACTGCGGTGCTGTCTGCTCCAGCATCGGGACCGATGGTGCTGGCTGTTGTCAGCGGCAAACAAGCAAGACAAGACAACCTCCTCTCTCCCTGGGTCCGAGTCCGTTTCTGTTGCTGTTTGTCCATTCGAAGTATCCGTACACTCACTGTATTGCGCGTTGGTGAGGTCGCGTGTGTGCCGTGCTGCTGAGCTAAAACGTTGGACGCGCATCAACCCCAAAAGGCAGCCGAATTCTCTGGCCGCTGAATGCTCAAACACCCCCCAACGGTCGACGCAAGCCATCACGAACGCATTCCGGGACGGCGCACCGGTTTGACGGCTGCCTTTTCGCTCCCCCGGCTCCCGCCATGCTTTCAATTTGTTTGATGGGTCTCGACGGGGCAGGCATGGCATGTGGAAACCAGGTGGAAAGAAAGAGAGCGAGAGCAGCCAGCCGGGGGGCCGGGTCCAGCCCAGTAACAAACGGACCGCACAGGTTCGCAGCAGTACGAATTGCCATTCAGAGTATGGCGCCATCGGCCGACGACCCTCGACCCTGAACCTGGAGAATGAGATGGCCAACACCAACGGCGAATGGGCGCAACTGAGGCCAAAGTGTCGCAATGGGACGGGTTGTGTTTCAACGTCCGCTGTGGCAGCAGATTGGCAGGTTGGCAGATTAGCAGCAAAACTCTGACATTGAGGCCTCGAGTAGTTGCAGCTCAAGAGTCCTGCCACGATGGCCTCAATAAGCCCATCACACCGTCCATACCGATCGACATGAGTCCTGTGCAGGGGTTGGTGAGGACAGATGCTGTTTTCGCACGCCGCACTACATCATCATCGTCTCAAATGACACGGCATAGCATGACAGAATGCACAATTGCGGGTGAAGCACAGCAAAAGCTTAGCACGGCTGGCGTCCATCCTGCGAGGCATACCACCGCACAGCAAACACGGCTGGGCTTTCTGCTGCACCTGCATCTCCCTTCTGTTGCACCGGTTGTGGCTGAGGCCCTGTGTCTCTGTCACTGGTGACTGTTTCCGAGAGAGAGACAGGCGAGAGATCGTCTTGCTGTCTTGCAAAAAGAGGAGCCCAAGAGGAGACGGCCTCATGCACGGTACTTTCTCCAATGGGGACTAATGAAGCTCAAATTGGCCTCGCTCGCTTACCCCGGTCACCATCAGCCCATCAGAACCAAAGTCCCTTTCTCTTCTCAGGACTGAAGACTGCTGAACCCCGTTCCCAGTGTCCTAGACTTCCGCATGTGCTCCACCCGCCCAGCCTGATCCATGACATCCCACTGGATCGTTTCCTTCTCCGCCAACCCGGGTCTGTCTCTCTCGCCTCTTTCTCCCAAATCCGATTCCGCTCTTTCGTCCCCCAATCCCCTCCGCCCCCAGCACCAACCAGCGGGCCCCTCAAATGCTTGGTCCTGCAGTGCTTCATGCTTGGGACCTTGGGACCTTGGGCTGAGGGTCTCAGGTCCCCTCAGCCTCCTCCGCGGGCCCTCATCAGGGTTGCAATGGGCAGTCTCGTCCAAATGTTGCAGTGACAGCAGTTGCAGAGACACTCACCGCAGGCTGGGTTCGACACTGGATGGACCCCCTTTGATCCAATCTCCCGGCCTGCTGCCCATGCCATGCAGCACTGCAACTTTGAGCTGGCCACCGGCGACGATTGAGCCACCGTTCAATTCCGGAAATTGACCAATCACACCACACCATCTACGCCCTTCCCTTTTCCGCAACCCTGCGATATCAATCGCGTGGTCCGTGGGCCATCTGTGGAGGTTATCGCCAAAATGCGAGCGAGAGAGCAAGAAAAAAGCAGACAACGAAACACACACGAGCCCACTGCGGACCTCTGGAAGCATGCACATCGCATCGCTTACCGTGGGGGCGGCGGCCGACCCCATCAAAGTGAAGACTCACGCAAACACAACAAGGGAGACCAGGCCAAGGACAACCCGGCCGTCGTGGGAAATCTCAAAACCCCCGGCCCTGATTGATTACATCCGGTGCATCTCGGCGTTCTCGTCCGCTCGGTCGGTCACTCCAGTCCATCTTCAGTCACCCGACCTCCGTGATCGACATGGATCGGGACCGCCAGCGGGCGCATTCTCTTTCGCTTGTCGTCCCAGCCCAACAACACTGCGACGCCAACCCCTTGGGAAAGGAATCCAACCAAGTCTGACCAAGCAAGGTGTCAAGGTAGCATGGCACCATTGGCATAACACTCTAGAGGTTTAGCCGTACCCATCGACCGGTCTGCTGGTCTGGATCCGGTCGAATGACGTCCAATATGCTGTCCACCTTAACAGGGTTGGTTACATCTTGACAGACCCCAATATCTGGGCGGTCGTCTTTGCAGCCTTCGTTTGCCGCCGTGGCCGTTCGTAGGGTCAACCCCTCGCTCGCATTCTGGCTCTGGCTCCTCTCCCTGAGCAACGACATTGGATGCGAAGCAAATGACGGGACGTTAGAAGAGACGCAGGACGGACGTGGACCTGCAGGACCTTGACTCGTCACCTGGCTTGCGTCTGTTGGACCTTGGCGCTCTTGCAGTGACGGCACTGGATTGCGCGGTTGCGCATAATCACCACCAGCAATACGGGTAACACAGCACGCAGCACGCAGCACGCAGCACCTACGCAGTCACGCACTCCCCTTGGACAAGCATCCCTACTCCTCCTCCTCCTGCACAGTACCTTTACGCGCATGCGGATACAAGAAACGAGAAGCACAGGCGGCATGAGGACTCACAGTACCGCCCTTCTTGCAGGAACCACCACGTCAAACGGACCTTCGTCAGCCAATTGCTCACCACCGCCACCCCCTCCAACCTTCACCGCGGTCCTGCCGCCCCCCTTGGTCCTCTCCACACGTAGGGCTGGCGTGGCGGTCGTCAGGTCCCAGAGAGTAGTGTGTGCACCGGAGCGTGGGAAGAAGAAGCAAGTAAACTCAAACCGAGCAAGCTTTCTGACTCAAAATTTCGGTTCGCCGGGTCAGAAATGAGCCAGCTAGTAGCTAACTAATGAGTTACTGCGCGCGGGCGCGTATGTGTGTATGTGTGTGAGTGACGGCGTCCTGTCAGAAGCCAAGCTTCTTCGCCTCGTCACCATCCCGTTCCGTCCCTGAACCCGCCGAATCCCATGCTTGTGCTACCCGTCGTCACCCCGTATTCACGGTTCTCGGACAGAGCCAGGCCCAACTCATTAGACTTGGACGGCACTTGCGAACCGACCGGCCCCCCCATCTCCCCTCTCCCGTCCATTCCAGCAAGACGGCTCGTTGTTCGTCCGCACCTCCATTCCAACGCTGCGTGGCTTACCCACTACGCAGTTTGTCCCGCCGGCGAACCGATGCCGCCGTCCCATTGGTTTACAAGGTCCATCATGGATACGACACGTACTTCGTAGGCGGTAACGAATCAATGATCTCGCGGCCCTCAGTCTGCCCGGCTCATCAGCCCTATGGGGGGTCCCCCCGTCATCCACCAATCAAGTCTGTGGAAATAGAGCAGCCTATCACCCAGTGCTCCGCTCCGCCAATCTCCTGCGACTGCCACATTTGGCCAGACCTTTTTTAGCCAGCCGCGTAGCATCACGAGAAGGCATCAATATTTCTGCCTTTGGCCCTCTTGTTTGAGAACACTACGTACCTTGCAGCCATCTTGCGGGTTTTTCTTGAACCCCTCACCCCATGCCAGACGTCTGTTCCACCCTGCCGCGGGAAACAAAGCGGCCACCAACAACCTTGGCAAAACGAAACCTGTTCTTTGACGGGCAGCGGTCAAAACGCGCCCACGAAAGAGGCCACGAATCCGCATCGTCACGAACCGGTCTCGGCGTATCAAAGATGGGGGGCCACAGTTGCAGGCTGGCTGCATCCTCGTTTATTCTTCTGCCTTGAGCTTGTTTTCCCCGCTAGCATCAACTCTGTCTCTGTCCATGCCACCCCGGCGGCGCCCCGTTGATCCAAAGAGGCGAATGCATGTCACGTTTCTCCCCATGTAAAGTCTTCTTTGGCCCCCCGAGCCGTGGAACCCACCACAAGATCTGTATCGTAACTACGGGCCACTAGGTTTGTCCCGGGTTGACGGGTCCAGAAGCCAACTCTAAGCCGTAGTCTACACATGACGTGAACGCATACGTACCTGAGGAGCAGGGACGACCTTACCCAGGTCCGTCGTTGCTGCAGCCTGCCCTTCGCCAGAGGAGCTCAACCTCGTCTATCAGATCGTCGATCGGTAGTTCCGGGCTGTAAGATGACGGGCTGGTGAGTTGCGACAGCTCCTGCGACGGCTTTCGAGCAGTCCTGGCAGCGGAGCCTCCATCCGGGCAAGCATCATTCCAGGCCTTCTCCCCGTCCTCTATCACGGCGCTCAGGGGCGGGTTCTCCGACGCTGCGACTGCGCTTCGGCCCGGTTTCCTGGAGTAGCTCCTCTTGGACCTTGACAGGTCCTGGTTCTGCTTGGTCTTGGAAACTCGTAAAGGGTCTGGCCGACCGGAAGATGTCGAGTCTGGGCTCTTGACATGTTGCGTCTGTGTAAGTCTCGACGGATCCTGGTTCTGTTTAGTCTTTGATGTCCGTAAAGGAGCAGGACAGGCTGAAGATGTCCTGTCCGGGCTCCTGACATGGCCTTTGGTCTTTGATATTCGCAAAGGGGCAGGCCATGCGGAAGACGTTGACTCCGGGTTACTCACCCGCGATGTCTGTGGCAGCTCCGACGAGCTCGATGACGAAGCATACCCTGAGTCCACATATGGCACAAAGTCCCGGCCCCGATTCGGTCGTCGCGAACCCGCAGAGGGGTCCGTATCCCGACGACCCTCGGGGCGATATGCCATATATGTCCTCTCCGGCTCCCGTATCCGCGCGTCATGCTCCCTCCACCCAGCCCTCCCCCTCGTCCCCTCCCTCCTCTCCGCCTCGTCCATTGGGACGGCTATATCCACCACCTGCGCACTCACGGGGTCAGCAACGGCGTTCATCTGACTCACCTGCACCTCACCTCTGACACGGCACCGGCGCGCCATGTAGTCATACTCATATCTATCCCTTCTCCCGACGGCCGCTGCCTGCGCGTCGAGGAGGCGGCACTGCGGACACCGGCCGTCGACCTCGACGCGGACGTCTTGGAAGGGGCACTCGCGGCGGGGCTCCGGGGTGCGCGGCCGCGGCTCGGGGGCGATGAGGAAGCAGAAGATGCACAAGAGCCAGGAGCTTCGTTGGCGGCGGTGGGCGTCGAGGCGCTCTTGCAGGCGTAGTTGGCTGAGGCGCTTCTGGTGGGGGCAGTCTTCTTCCTCTGTGCGTGTGTGGGAGCAGCTTTTGTAGTACGTTTGCTTCTTGTAGCACATCTTTTCAAGGATGATGGTGTCGTTGATGGGGGTATGGTTGGATGTTTGGCAAGCTCGTTTGTGACTGGAAACATGTTGACTGCGGCATCATGGCAAGTCATATATTTGACGATGCGTTGGAGTTTGTATTGGACAATGTCCTGTGTTCTGGTCGTGTACGGTAGTTGGAGGTCCTACAGGAAGCCTAGAGACGTGATGGTAGAGTACAGAAAACATCTTGCCTGAACCTTTGTTCGTGTGATTGTCAAGAACATTATTCCACAAACAACTTGTTCGAGCTCAGAAAAGTCCAGAACTGTCTCTAATTCTCTAGCTAGGTCCCAAACGTTGCGTTGATTCATCCAGATTTGTCTTGGGAGGTATCTGGAAAGAGATTGAAGCAACCTTCCAGACCCTGTGTGCTTCCAGCTTCTCTGTCTCATACTTAAGACGATGATTGAAGAAAGTGTGGACCATTGAGTAACCTTCAGATATACCTAGGCTCTCGCATGGGGCGGTGGTAGTACAGATCTGCGGCACACCACTGAGGGCCCTTCAAAGAACAGCCGATGACAATGCTTTTGTTGCGAGACTTCTTCAACATGGGGGGCAAGGGACTGGCCGACTACGATATTGCGGCTCGTAACAAGTAGGCCGAATAGCAAAGGGACATGGCTCGTGAGCCATGACGCCGACCATGTTCTTTGAGCCCACAGCACACAATCCTCTTTGCGAAGGCAGCGAGAAGTTTCAAGAAAGGGTCGTTCCTTCCAAACCATAGAATTTTCTGTCGCAACTGCCGTCTTTGACCAAGTCTGAGTCAAATAGGGGCGCGCCTTCTCACCTTGCCCAGTTCACTGACTCTCAGCAACTCAGCAACCACCCCCACCACACAATTAATTCACCAACAAGCAATACCGAAAAAATGCCTTTCAAACTTTTCTCCCGCTGGACCGGAAGGAAGCTTACACCAACCAGTCCTCAACCCAGTCAGTCAGGATTCAACTACACGTCAACATCAACGATCACCTTGGCTAAAGCTTCTTCCGCGCCTCCCAAACTAACAACAGCATACGCCCGGGACGTTCCCCTCGAACTTCACACGCAGGGCATCAGAGAGACGCTAGATTGCCTCAGAGGAGGTGAGTCTTCAGAAGCCCTCCTCGCGCTTCGCCGCCTCCAAAACGAAGCTGAGAAGCGCGCGCGAAGCAACCGCAACGAGGCCGACACCATCCTGCGCGCCCTCAACATCGTCCGCGGCATTACGTCGTGGAGGCCAGAAGTTACGCAAGCTGAGAGCGGCCAGGATCTGTACCGGGATGAAAGCAGCAGCAGCGATGAACAGAAAATTGCGAAACAGCAGGAAGAGGTAACGGCGCCACCTGCCGAAGGAAACAAGATGAACGTAGGTACTGACGGGACGAGCAGGTCACACAGGACGAAGGACAAGATGAAGAATGGGAAGACCTTGGGAGACGGATCTGGCTCCCGTCCATCTCTTCGCCGCATTTCTTCGGAGACGGAAGGGGCGACTTCTCTCTCCTCGCGTCGCAGTTTTCAACAGGAGACGATGCGCGATGCTCTTCCTCGTGTTCCCACGGACGGAAGGAGCGAAAGTCCCGGTTCGCTGAGCACTTCGATGATGATGTTGGCAGAGAGCCCTATCGACACCTCTGAGGAAGACTACCGAGAGAACTCTGCAAGGTCCATGAGGCATGTGCTGGACACATACCGCAACCCGGGCCCGTCGTCGCCTCCGGCGTCCGCGACATCGAGCGAGTACTCTGACGAAGAAGTGAATATTAGCGACTTCCCCCGTCCTCCCACCGCTCTCGACTGGCACGAGAATAAGCGGGAGACATCACCTACCGAGAGCCCAATCGCGGACTCTTCAATTGAGGAGTTCGTTGCACACGAAGAACAAACAAACGCCGAAATCGGACACGCAGATGCAGTAGAGATATTTGGAGGTACGGCCCAGCTGGTCTTCCAAACCAACAAACCAATTCGCTTACACAACGTAACAGAACCTGCCTCAGAGCGCAAACCCAAGGAGCTAGATAACGGAAACCAAATTACCCTTGGCCCGGGAACCTACACTTTCATTCAGGGTGGCAAGACCATGACGATCACCGTCAGAGGTAGTGACCAGGTGCAGGTTGGATATACCAACCCTCCATCCCCGTCCAACGTCGATCAGGATATCCTCGGTGACGACCGGGAGCCTTCTTCAGCAACGACAGACGGTTCCATTGACGATCTGCTGGAACATTACTCAGAATCCTCGTCCTCATCTGAAGGCGACGTTCTCACTCCCGTGGATGTTCCACTTCCGGAGACACTGACCCAAGGGATTGACCTGCCTCCGTTCTTTCCTAATGCACCCAATGCTCAAGGTCCCCTAGCTGTAATCAGAGCAGGTCTCTCTCTACCCGAGACAGCAACTCATAAAGAGATCCAAGATCACATTGCTTGTAACTCGACCATCCTTCGCTACCTCGCTCTCCACGTCATCCCCTCCCCAGACATCAACCCGGTGGAACAGCTCACAGATCTCCACGAGCTGGCCCTCGCCTCTCAGGATGGCAAAACAGAGTACACTCGTCTCCTGCAGGCGATACGCTCGGTATATTGGGACTCGGGCCCAGTGATTGAGATGCTTAGCTTTGTTGACGCCTTCGCGTCTTCAAATGACCTCCGCCGAAGGCATAGGATCCTCCCAGCATTCCGCAAGATTCGCGCTGCGGACTCACAGAGGAAGGGCTGTCTCACGTCCACAGAAATTCATACCCTTAGCAAACACGGCCTCTCACTTTACGACCTTGTACCCATAGCTGATCTCCCGAAAGTTATCAGCCATGGCTTGATGGGTCGTTTGATTGAGGCGGCGGCAACAGGGGTACTGGAGACACTTAAGGAGTGCGATATCCTTAACGAAGACGGCGCGCTACTGGAGTTGCTTTCCGCAGTAGATGGCAAGGCAACGACTCCAGAGAGCATTGAGAGAAAGAAGAGCGTGGTTGGAACGCCTAGTCGGCTTCGCTTTTGCGAGAATGTCGCCTCGACCGAAGGGCTTGAGAAAAACGATACTGCTGGAGAGGCCGTGAGAAGCACCTGGAGTGTGAGCTCAGAGTCGAGCGACGATGACGATGACGAAGAACACTATGATACGCAAGAGGACTCTAGTATGTCGGACTCTCAACTGAACGATTACGAGACGTTTTTCAAGAGCATACAGAACAGCGCACCAAGCTCTCCCGACCCGTCGCTGGACGACAAGAGTGAGGCACCTATCATCAACCGACGACCGATGCTCGCAAGATCCACTGGTGGCTTCAGAGCAATCGACGCCACGTCCGTCTCGGTAGACGAGGAGACGAAGAAAAGCTTCGAGCTGTCACGCTTCTTTGAGGAAATTGGGACGAACCCAGTGGTCATTGACACGGAAACAATCTCTACCCAGTTTCTTCACCCTTTCCTCGAAGACGCGTTATCCCATGATGGAACGGCACACAAGCTCTCCCTCCACCCATTCCTACAAGAAACAGACGACATATCTCAAGACTTGACGACATATTGGGGGGTAAATTTGGGAGGCATTTTGGACGCTTAATTGGTTAAGCAGGCGGCAATATGAGCACGGGTAGCTAAGGTAGGTAGAAGATCCGGGGCGCAACGAGACATAATGGCATCGGGGATAACAAGATAGACCGCCGCAAGGCTTTAAACATTCTCAAATATATACCAGGGTATCTTTAAACATGCGCCCACCCATTATAAACAAGAACTTGCCCCTCGTTAATCAGGCAATCAACCCCCTTCTCGCTCCTCCCCTCCCCTTCCGCCTCCCACTCCCTCACCCTCTTCCTGACAACCCACTCCTTGACGCCGTCACTCGTAAGCAACCTCCTCAGCCTCCCCTCCCACTTCCCCACGATGACCCTCCACACGCTTACCCAGCTCCCCTCCGTCGGGTTCGCCCACCGGTACGCGTCCCCGTCATACCCGACCCTGACCCGCGGATTCAGCCACACGCCCAGATGCTCCGTCAGCGGGTTGTCCACGTGGATCAGACAGCACTCGCTGCCTTCGAGGTGCTTCTCCTCAGCGAGCGAGTCCGCCACGGCACGGAACCTGAGGCGGCGCCCACTAGCCTCGGATGCGAGGAACGGCGCCGCCGGCATCGCCACGATGCCGTTCCAGCAGCTGCGCACCGGCACCGCGTCCGCGTACGCCATCATCGCCGCCCGGCTCGCCGCGGACCGGAAGTACGGCCACGTCTGCATCAGGTGCGCCTGCCCCGCCGAGTCGCGCAGCGCGAACGTGTCGTAGTAGGAGGGCGGCTCCGAGAAGTCGAGCGAGCACGCCGCGGCGTAGAGGCCCCCGTTCGTGTCTAGCAGCGCGAGCACGTCCTCGGCCTGTAGATAGAGTCAGCAAGCGGGACCATGGGCGGAAACCCGGGGATTTCTTACAGTGAAGACGACATCGTTCAAGAACAGGACCGTATCAAACACCTCCCCCTCATCCGTCAACCTCCACAGATCCCGCAACGTCAAGTTCCTCAAACGCGCAAGGAACGGTATCCTCCTCATCTCCCTCTTCCCCCTCGGCGTCATAATCCACCCCTCCTTCGTCACCCCTCCTCCCCCGTCGTCTTTCTCCCCCTCCTCGACCTCCTGCAAATGCGTCCTCTCATCCAGCACCACATTCCTCCTCACCCCCCTCTTAAACAGCTCATCGTCCAACTGCCTCAGCCACACTTTACTCTCGTCCCAGCTCCCGCTCTCGTACACGCTCACAAACACGTTCCCCCGCCCCAGCGCGTCCACCAGCCCCAGCACCGCCGCGTTCCAGTGCTCCTTGATCAGCGCCCCGTCGTTGTAGTGCATCCCCGCAATGTACACCTTCTGCGTCTTCCTAGGCCGCTTCGCGATCGCCTCGCGCGGGGGCGTCGCGCCCGTGATGATGCGCTGCACGCGCAGGGCGTCGAGGAGGGTGTACGCCGCCAGGAGGAGGACGAGGTTGCGCAACGCCCGTGAGCGAAGGGCTCGGCGCGCGCGGAGGCGGAGACTGTTGAGGAAGCCCATTTCGTTATTTGCGTCGATTGGCGTCAGGCGTTTTTGTTCCCCCGGCGGGTTCTCTCGTTCGGTTCGGCACCGGCGATCTGGCGTCTCGCGGGATGTCACCACACCCAGACCGGGATGATGTCTAAATTAGCAAGGAAGAAGACGAGGCCTCGGAAAACAAAACTCCATTGATGCGAAACGGGAAGGAGAAATAGTAGATCAAATGTGCTTGCGTGTCGTGCGATCCTTCCACGCCTTCCTCCTGCGCTGACGCTGACCGAGAGAGGGAGGGTGAACTGTCCAGATTCAAAGCTCCTGCTAGGGGTTCCAAACTTCCAATGGTCCCCTGACAGAAGGTCACTGGAATTGGTCAGGGGAACTGATGTCATTGGCTGACAGGGCTGACAGGGGTCAATAATTGGGAGCCTGGAGAAGCGGCCAGACTCGGTGATTGGCTGGTGGAGCTCAGCTCATCTCTCCCGTGGATGACAGGGGTAATAGGAGCGCATCAGCCTCAACATAATGTCACTATTTTTACATCACACGCAGACGGGCTTCACTTTGAAAACTGTCGAAAACAGCTGAACTGGAACTATTCATCAACGCAAGAAAACTAGTTGTACACCCTACAGTGTGTCCCATTTGTTCGTCATCTCCTCTTACATTCACAGCTTAGCCCCATCCCCTCGTTGGCTTCTGATAACTGTATTTCCGTGACCCGAACCCCGGGTCGCTGGACTGGGAGTCAATCCGACTTCTGGAGCACCTTCGTCTAAATTCTGTATCAATCCCCTAAGGGCTTGACTTCAACCTCACGGCGCTTATTTGGCGAAGTGCAGGTCGTAGCCGAGCCACTTGCGACGAACGACTTGCTCGACGGTGAGGCCGGGGTAACCGTAGGTCAGCGGCAGGAAGAAGTACCAGCCGGCAACGGCAACAGCCAAAATAACACCACAGGCGATCCAGGCGGGGAGAAGGCTCTGGCCAGCAAAGCGCTCGCGGGCGCTGATGTGCCTCTTAGGTCCATCGCCCTTCTTGTTGCCCTTGATGACCTGGTAGCCCTCCTCGGGAGCGGGCTCGGCGGTGAAGATGAACTCCAGAAGAGCACCCGCAACAAGGCAGGAAGCCAGGTGTGCCGGGAGGTAGTGGTGGAGGAAGAGCTGACGACCCATGAGGTAGAAGGGGAAGTAGTGAGTGGCCCAGGCAAGGAAGAAGAAACCGGTTGAGTTGTAAAGACGGGAGCGCGTGCCTACGTTGGGTTAGCTTGGTATTGATCCAGAAGACGCAGTTTACTCACGGTGGTCAAGAGCGTCAATACCCCGTCTAAGAGAGACCTGGTCGGCACCGATAATGCCGGCGAACACGGCCAACAAACTGCTCGCAAGCCACCAGCCGACAGGGTTGCCGAGGAAGTAGATCTGCTGGCGGGTGTCGTTCTGGGTCCAGAAACTGACACCACGGAGCAGGAAAGGCCACTGCCAGGGCTGACTGGCGTACGGGTGGGAGCTGGTCAACTGGTTGTTGTGCCAGAACATGGAGCGCTGAAGCTCAAACCACTTGCGGAAGAAGGGCAGCGTCTTAACCTCCTTCTCCGGCTTCTCGCGTCTCTTGGAGTCTGCGGGAACGGAAGGGAGATCCTCGACGAACCAAATATTGGAGCTAGGGGCCAGCTGCTTGTTACCGTTGATCTCCTGCTGCTTGTGTGCCCACTCGGGAAGAGGGGTGGTGTGAGTCCACATGGCAACCTTGCTGGGGTTGTGAATCAGCTTGAAGTGGCTGGAAATACTCTTAAACTCCTGGCCAGCCTTGCCGTTCTCGACCCTGATCTCGAAGAGCGTGTCGTTCAGGCGCTCTCCGTAGGCTTCGGTCAAGGGAACGGTGGTGAACTCCTGGTTGGTAGGGTAGTAAGGAGAGGCAACATCGTGGGAGAGAAGCATGGTGTCGGTGCCCAGGTGGCGAAGACGGACGACATCGTTGTTCTTGACGGCCTTGCCCGTCTTCTGGTCGTCGACGAGGGGAATGACCTGCCAGTAGTTGTTGGTGTCGTTGTAGGGGTAACCAGTGACCTGCTGGCCCTGGCTGGAAACACGGCCGTCGTCGTAGCGGAGGGGGTAGCGGTCCTCGTGGCTGTGGAGGTACGTCTTGGTCTCCTTGTGGCGAAGGGTGATCGTGTCGTAGTATTCGACGGTCAAGGAGTTGGCCAACATGACGTTGTCGCTAAGAGTCTCCTGGAACTCGGGAGTCATGAAGTCGTCGCCAGGACCGGAACGGGTAAGGATGGCGAAGTGAACCTGGAACCAGAAGAGATAGAAGAGGAAGGGCATCAGAATGAGGCCGAATGCGCGGGCAGCAAAGTGCTTGCCAAAGTCCGGAAGAGACAGCGCGCCACCAGGTCGCTTAATGTCCAACAGGGCCCAGAGATCGATAATCACAGCAGAGCCAATGGTGACGAAAGCGAAGAGACCGACATACTTGGTCGACATGTCGGCAGACAGGGCGAATCCGGTAAGGATAAGCCACTTCCACCACTTGCGCGAGAAAGGCTCGTGGCGCAGCTTGTAGAACTTGATGTAGCAGAGCAAGCTGCATGCCATGCAGAAGACCAGAGTAGCATCCAAGAGGATCAGTCTGGTCTGACCAATGTGGGCGTTGTCGAGGAGAATGAGGCCGGCGGCCAGAATGCAGGCAGGCAGACTGTAACCAGACTCCCACATGATGAGGTAGGAGATGGTGACCGTCAATGCGCCGAGGATGGCGGGCAGAGCGCGGAAAGCGACATAGGGGACCTTGTTGGAGATGTACGAGTCGCCAATGTTCTCGAAGTGGAAGTGTCCGTCGTAGCCTACAAGCCATCCCATAAAGGCAAAGAGGAGCTTTCCGAACGGAGGGTGGACATCGAAGAAGTATGTTCTCTCGAGGTAGTAGGAGGCAAACTGTTTGGAAAGCAAGCTGTCAGCTATCGTGTCTTGGGGAAGGAGAGGGGGGAAAAAGTGACAGTGCTAACGTACCTTGCCAAAGTGAACCTCGTCGAAGACGACTTCATTGGGATGGCTGATACCCCAGAAACGGGTGACGAAGGCCAGGACAGTGGTGACGACGAGGCCGATGATGTGGCCGCTCTCCGCGCCGGCGCGCTTGGTCTTGTCGGCGGCCTTGGTCAGAGAGTCGGCGACGGCGTCAGCAGCGGCGCCCGGGACAGCTCCCTTCTTAGTAGAGCCCGTGTTGCGCTGGCGAACGCTGCCCTGCGGGGAGGTGGCAGTCGTCTGCGCCATGTTGGGAATCGGAAATGGACGGGAGGAGCTGCGCGAGACGGGGTTTGTCAGTTCCAAGTCTCGCGAGATTGGAGGTTGAGTTGGGAAGCTGGAGATGAAAAAGTGCGGTTCCCCAGAAGAGTCGCATCAAGAAGGACAGGTAGCTCTACGTGGTGGTACGTATCGCGCCTCGGAGCTGTGCTCCTGCGGTTGTAAGGGAGCAATTCAGGGGCTTGTAGCTTAAGGTACTTACACGCTATGGGAAAAAGTGGACCGCGTCAGCCCTCACGTCAAGGTGATTGAAGAAGACAGGCGCGAAGAGAGAATAGTGAAGAGAAGAAGGAAAGGTTGAGGTAAGGAACGACAGAAGAAGCTGCGGCAGGGAGGCAGAAACGAAGAAGAGGGAACAAAATCAGTCTCGCGATGGAGAAGAGTGGTGGTGAAGGACGAACGACAAGGAAGGTTGGATCACCTCGGCCAGGTAGCTCGCGCGGAAAAATTAATGGGAAACCCCCTGGCGAAGAAGTGACAGTGAACCTTCGTGGACACAGGATGGCCTGGGGGATAAATTTGGGGGCAGGGGTGTCTGCTGCTTTTTTCCTTCTGCCTCTTGGTGGACTGGACTTGAAGGACTGGACACTTGGCCATACTGAAGCTGTCAGCCTGCCTGCTGGACGGAGCTTAGGTGGGTTACGCTAACAATTTTTGGGGGTTGATTTGGGGGGCGTCTAGGTTGGGGAGAGCTCCGTCCCACCTTCCGCCGTGATAAGATAAGAAGGGTCCTTGCAACCATTGACGGCACTCTACCCGACGCATTGTACGCGCAGTCTGTGGCTACGCCCGCGTGTTTGCTCGGAGAGAACAATGTGATTAGCGAAAGTAAGGACTTGCTGAATCGAGTTCAATTCCTGACGTAGCAATTCAGCTGGAATATGATGCAATTGACCTATCACGGGCCAATGTTGGGTGAAGGAACTTTGTCCATTTTAATACTCTCTAGCTCATGTCATTCCTCGTCCACTATGTAATACACATACTGTGCAATCAACCCCTCTACATGCAAAACTGCCCTGTGCCTCATTTGACGAACCTCAGACAAGGCGCAATCGACAGTTTTGTACGTAAACTCTCGGTCGGGTAGCCGCTCCGACGAGAGGTAACAGGACCCCGCTGCTACCCGCCCGGGCCTCGACGCCGAAGAACGGAGGGCGCAACGGCGGGGTTCGCCCGACCAGCCTGGGAAGTCCCAACTTAATCCTCACCAAAGGCGCGCGCTCAATCCACGGTCCGTAGTAACCTGCCCCTCCTCCTTCCACTCTTCAATCCTCATGTCCTCTTCGCTCCTCAGATCCGTCACCAGAGTTTCCTCTCGTGCCCTCCATCCCTCAACCCGCGTCTTCACAAAGTTCCACGCTCAGCCGTTTAGCATCCACTCCGTCAAGATGTCTGACCAGTCCATCGTCTTCACCAAGAACGCCCCGGCCCGTGAGTCTTTTCTGAATGCCCTCGCCTTATGTGACTCAATTGACTGACAACAATCATTTGAAATAGCCGTCGGCCCTTACGTATGAGCTCACTCACACGAGCAATTGGACCCCCTGTGAAAAGCTAACCACCGCCGCAGTCCCAGGCCGTCAAGACCCCCACCGCCATCTACTGCTCCGGCCAGATCCCCCTCAACCCCGAGGGCGTCCTGATCGAGGGCAACATCACCCAGAAGACCAAGCAGTGCATCTCCAACCTCGAGGCCGTCCTCAAGGAGGCCGGTTCTTCCATTGCCAAGGTCGTCAAGGTCAACATCTTCCTCGCCGACATGGGTGACTTTGCCGTAAGTTTACGCGGCCCCCTCCCTTCCCCAAACCTGCAGTTTCTGACTGGCGTATACAGGAGATGAACGGCGAGTACGAGAAGTGGTTCACCCACAAGCCCGCTCGCAGCTGCGTCGCCGTCAAGACTCTGCCCAAGAACGTCGAGGTTGAGATTGAGGCTATTGCCCTCCCTTAAGCGCCTTCCGAGGTCGGAGATTGTAGTAACTTTACAGACCCAAACCAAAACTGTTAAACCTGCTTCACCGTCTTTTCTATGGCTTTCAATCATGCATCGGTGATGACTCTGCTATGAATTTTGTGCCTGCCATTGTCACGTCCCCTTCTTCTTCTGAGTTGAGATTATGAATGGGCCGGGACACGCTGTGACAAAGGGCGAAATGTTGACGACGTTGGAACAAGTTCCAGTGCCACTTGAACAGTTGACATTCTGACATCGATTCTCTGACAAGGATCTCGCGTATGACTTGCGTCTTGAGTACTTCAAGCTACGTGAGTTCCACAGACCTCAGTCTTACTTGATCCAGTGCTCCAACTCAAACGACCTCACCACATGAGGAATACCACTCCGGTGCCGTTCTTCGATTCATTGAGACAAATACGTTTCATCATCTCCCCCAGAGTGCGACTTCACGAAGCAACACCGCATCCCTCATCTCAACCACTGCATCAACACAAAAAAGAACCTCATTTGAGTGAATAATAAGCAGAAAGGTAGTTCTTGTTCTACACACCCCTCCGTCTATCGGTACAAATCCTCCACTCTACCATAGCCCTCAAAGGCAAAACCCCCAAGCAGCGCGAACCCAATCGTTAAAGAATCCCGGTCAGGCATCGTTTACTCGTCGTCCTCGTCGGCAGCCTCGACGTATCTGGCGCGGATGTCCTTCCATTGGCGCTATTGTCTCACATGCGTTAGCATTCCCGCTCGGGACAGAAGAGTATATGAGGACGGGGAGGGGTTTTCTCTTACGCCGCGGTTAAGGTAGTCCCAGTACTTGTTCATCGCGCCGTTGAAGCCCCTACGCAAAGTAGACCAGTCAGCATAACGTTCGCTCGCTCCTCGCCGCCCTGATGCCTCCTCCGTCTGCTCCTTCCACCCGACATCCTCCTCCACAGTCATCACCTTCCTCGGCCAAGCGTCGTCTCAAATCGGCAGGGGGTTTCGGGGTTCCTTACATCTCGAAAGCGAAGCCCGTCGCGAAGACGAAGCCAAGCATGGAGAAGTTGTTCTTGAACAGGGCGCTAATTCCCCACAGTCAGCAAAGCTCAAGTTCCGCAGTCATCACGGCGTTCATTCGGGCAGTCTTGGTCGGTCGGAACGGGGTCGGAGGGGTCGGAGGGAGACTTGCGTGTAGAAAGGTCGTGCGGCGGCCTACGGAGAAAGGATGAGCGATTAGCCAATTGCGGTCGCGGGGGCGCAACAAAGGGCGCGGAAGCCTTACCATCTTGAATGTCGTCTGTCAAATCGCACTTCGTGTGGGGAGGACGAGGATGCTTCGATGCGGTCGGCGAGGCGAGAGTCGTGGGAGGGTGATCAGATGGTTTTCGGAGGTGAGGTTCCTGACGAAATTCGCGATGTTCCGGGAGCACCAGCTTTGCCGAATTGCCTTTCTTCTGATTGGCTACTTGGGTATCCACTATTTTGGACTAACGGACTCTCCAGCTGACTAAGTCAAGAAAAGCCTCACCAGCACCACCAGCACAACCCTCGTCAGCCACATTATCACAAGCCATCACTGCTTGTCGCCTCTGATCGGGCTTCATTCACGGGTCGTCGCAGACTGTCGAAAACAACAAATACAGGACCACCAGGCCTCAGAGTCATTTGGCCTGCTACATCGCAACTAAACCTCATGGCAGAGTACACGTTTGATGTGATTGGATTGGACAGCGCTCTTCACGGCCATGGATGCAATCTTCAACAGCCTGTGGTTTTTAAATAATCGCCAGACGCATCTTGGTCCAGTTTGCAAGAATTAATTGAATTAACGTTATTAACAGACCTCTTGTTCCAATGAAACCTAACTTACTAACGCAGCTGCAGATTATTTATGTGCAAGGTGAGTGACTTTCTCCTTGGCATGCTCCTTGGCGTTGTGCATCTTCTTTCGGAATGGGATATGTGTTTCCGCTCTCCTACCGCGAAGACCGGTAAGCGTTCTCAGAGGCATTTCCTTGCCCTCGACAAAGTCGCGATGCTCTTCCATCCGCTTCTCTGAAATGGTTTCTGGCGCCCACTTCTTACGGATGAACCAGGGCATACATGCGCCAACCCAGTTGTCAGGGAGAAGACGGATCAAGACACCCATGGGCAACGAAATCGCACCGAGACCGATAGAAATGCCCCACTCCTTACCAGTCAATCGTTCAACCTTGAAAGCATCGCTTCCGACGAAAATGATCAGCAGCTGCCCGCCAATCATGATCAGGTTGATGGCGATGAAGAATGGGTTCTTGGTGATGTTTTCAAAGATATTCAGCTTGTTGTCCAAGCGGCGGTTGCTATTTTGCGTTAGCATGTACTCAATCGCCGAGTGCTGTGACCTACTTGAGTTCGTTGAAAATTTGCAACCACACAAAGGTATTGAAGACGAGCGTGTTCAGTTTCACTGCCCTGTCTTGTCCTTCCAAGACATCGACTAGGCCAGATCCCGCGTAATACAATACCAGCGTCACGACCAGCTGGACCACAGCTTGGCCAAGGATCATCTTGATCATTCTCAGGGTGATGAGAGGAGCAGATTTGCGTTCTGGCTTGCGATCGAGCACGCTGCGCGTTGGCGGGTCGGTAGCGAGCGCGAGAGCGGCAAAAGTGTCCATGATGAGGTTGACCCAGAGCAGTTGAATGGCATTCAACACAGAAGCTTGATCTTCGCTGGCAACCGCAGTAACGAAGGTCAGGACAACAGCGGTAATGTTGACAGTGAGTTGAAACTGTATCTCGGGTTAGAAGCAGGGACGACAATAGGGACGACAGACAGTAGAGACACGAAAGAAAAATAGCAACGTACCTGCAGGAATTTCTTCACGGAATCATTGATGGCTCTGCCCCACATCAACCCTTTCACGATTGACGCAAAGTTGTCGTCCATGAGAATGATCTCCGAGGCCTCTTTCGCAACCTCCGTTCCGGCAATACCCATAGAGAAACCAATGTCTGCCATTTTGAGTGCTGGAGCATCGTTGGTACCGTCTCCAGTAACAGCAACCGTTTCCCCGAGTTCTTTAAGAGTGTGTACCAGGATTCGCTTGTCATCAGGGCTGGAGCGAGCAAGAACCTGGAGCTTCGGGACGATGTCCTTCAACTCTTCCTCTGACTTCCTGCGGAAGTCCGGTCCCTCCATGGCAATGCCACCCTTCTCAGCATGGTAGATCCCACACTCCTTGGCAATGGCCTTTGCGGTCAAGATGTTGTCGCCAGTCACCATGCGAACCACCACACCTGCGTGATCGCAGTCTTTGATGGCGTCAATGACAGTCGTGCGCAGAGGGTCCTTGATACCATAGATGGCGATCAGAGTCATGTCTGCATGGATCTTGTTGAAGTCTGCCGCTCGGGGATCGTCAGAAGAGACGGCATCTTTCGGAGGCCATGATTCGAAATCCTTGAACGAAGAACCAATAGTTCGAAGTGTTTGTCCGGCGTACGATGTGATGGTTTGCGAAAACATCTCGCGGTCCTCTGACGTGATCTCTGTAGTTTTGAGCTCAGAACTGCTGGGGTCTTCGAGCACCTTGGTACACTTGTCCAAGAGAATCTCGGACGCACCCTTGACATACGCTCTGTACTTCCCATCCGCAAGCTTGACTACTGTAGCCATGTACTTGACCGCAGAGTCGAAGGGGACGACCTGCACAATGTTCGCGTTTGCGCGCTCCTCCTGGACAGGACCTGCTCCCAGGTGATCTCGACAAAAGGAGAGCAGGGCGACTTCTGTCTTGGATCCAATGAAGGTTTTCTCTCCATCCTCGTCACCTTCAAAGGCTGTGGAGTTGACGGCGTTGCCTTGAATTAATAGGCCCTTGGTCTGCGTGCTGAGATCCTTGGTGAAATCGGCAACAGGAACATTCCGAACTGAGGACACGGGTGCTCCGTTAGAGCTGCTGCTCTTAGCCTTGCCCTCCTTGGACTCTTCGAGTGGAGTATCTGTGCCGCCAAAGCTGACGCTCTTGCCCAGAGTGGTCGCAACTACCGTCATCTTGTTCTGGGTCAGTGTCCCAGTCTTGTCGGAACAAATCGTCGTCGCGTTTCCCATGGTCTCGCAAGCTTTCAAAACTCGAACTAGGTTGTTGTCTTTCATCATGCGGTTGGTTGCGAAGGAAAGAGCCAGGGTAACAGCTAACGGCAAGCCCTCCGGCACTGCTACCACCACAACAGTAATGGAGACGATGAAAATCTTCATGAACTCCTGGCCTTTTTCAGCGGCCGTCCCTTGGTTATTCGGCAGTTTGACGAGAAACCTGATGAACAACGCCACGAACAACAGAAGACCGGCAGCGCCACCGGCTTTTGCAATGAAGTCGGCAAGAATGTTGAGCTTCCTCTGAAGAGGTGTTTCTTCCTGTTCGGTCCGCAGAGACATCGTGATGCGTCCGTACGATGAGTTGACACCCACAGCTGTGACTAAAAAGACTCCAGTTCCTTCTTGAACTTTGCTGCCGGAAATGATAAAGGGGTCCAACTTTTCGACGTCAGGCCGAGCAGCACCTCCGTGCGCCATCTTATCCAGTGCTTCAAAGACTTCATCAGCTGCGACTTTTCTGAGAAGATCAGATTCTCCGGTGGCCGACGATTCATCGCATTTAAGACTGTGACCGTCGATGAAAATGCCGTCGACTGGCACGACGTCGCCAGTGCTGAGGTGCACGACGTCGCCGACGACGATGTCATGAACAGGTATCTCCACTGATTTCCCAGACCGGATGGCCTTGACGGTCCTGTCATCATTCTTTTTGTTAAGAGTGTTGAACTGGCGCTGCATGTTCCAATCATTGATCGACCCGACCAAGACGACGGCGACGATGGCAACGACGATGGCCATGCCCTCGACCCAGTCGACGCGTGGCTCACCCTCCTTGTGGGTCGGGCCGTATGATTCGTAAAAGCCAAGAGAGAGGGATATGATAGCAGCAGCGGTCAGCAAAATCAGAATTTTGTCGTTGTAAGCGATCCAG